ATTCTACGGCGAATCCAAGCAGCACCGGCAAGCAGCTACCGGTCAACGTTAGCTATAGGAGCAGCATGTCATGCAGATAGCTAGCTAGATACCGGCACACAAGCTACAGAGCAGCAGTGCAAGCAAGCTACAGGAAACACAGGAGTGCATCCACCAGCATCAAATAATTCTTTGGAGTGTGATTGTATTGAGTTTACACTCAGCACCTCCTCTCCTTTCATGAGTGTGTATTGTGGCATCCCAAGCCACAGCACCTCCTACTACCTTTTATGGAATGTGTATTGTGCAACTAATCCACAGCACTTCCTCATGATTACAGGCAAACCTGAGGCAACAACAGCCCTCAGGTAGGCAACAACAGATACCATTACAAATCCATGCCCTTGCTATTTGATCACAGCAAGTGCACAGGAGTGTGAGGGTACCCAAATCCAAAACCTACAATCCTACAAACAAAATCATCATAACAATCCGCCTTTATAGGCAATGCCGTAACCATCAATGGCCATAACAAGGCCACAACTACACGGCCAACTACCATCAATGACTACATCCACACGCATCTACAATAACGGCAACTGCCACAACAGCAGAACGACAGTGAACGTTGAACCGAGTAGCTAGCTACAAGCAAGCCACTCAAGAGTTCACAAGACAAGGAACCAGCCACAGGATGGCTAGGAGCAGACAGAGTTTGACCACAAGGGAACCGATCAAAGAAACAACAAGGGTGCACACCTCAGCTCCACTGCAACTACTGTACAAGAGATTGCAACCAACCTTAGTCTCACACCAACAACAAGTACATGAGTACAACAAATCAAGCCTACAGAAGATACAACTACGAAAAACTACTGCCACAGCCATCTCACAGGAGTGTAAGAGCAGTGGCATCACAACCAAAGGATCTACCGAATACATCACCATCGAACCAACATCGACCGTGACACGTCCAGGTCCAGTGAGCCCATCAAGTGGAGCATCCACAACTACTACCGAATACTTCCTTACAAGTTTCCAAACTTCCAAGGGCTTCAGCCCCAACTCAAAGTATCATTGTGGCAAGGAACTTCCTCCTAGTTCCCTACTACAACAGTTCTCCCAAGGTGTCGCTAAGCCTGACTTCCCAGTCTCAGCTACGGCAACACCAAAGACGGTACCAAGTGTACCAATAAGTGACGGCACCAGTCACCACGAGTGACGACACCAGCAGTCACGAGTCTCACATGAGTATAAACAACCATGACAAGAGGAAACAATAACTCAACCATTTCCTCATTCCATCTTCAGACATCGAGACCATCCAAGAACTAGGGTCAGTCGAACCCAACAAGTCCGTGACTTCCAAGCTACATCATTTCCAGCTTCCATGCACCTTCCATAGGGCATCACTTCCCACAAGTCTACGACTTCCAGAAGCCTTCAACCAGCTTCCATCTACGAAGGGCTTCCAGCCCCATCAAGTGTCAATGCAGCCGAACTTCCCAGTCTGAGCCGCAGGTACACCAAGTGCGGTATCATCCGACACCAATCTTCCAGGAGTGGCACCACTCTCAGAAGAGTGCCAGCCACAAAGACTTTCGATGATGACAATGCCGTATTGTCTCGTCTCCACCGCTCAGCTTCTCGACCAAGCGGGTGCCGAGCAACTACTTCCAAGTTTTGTTTTGGACTCATTGCAAGCCAGTCGGCACGACGACGTGAGACTGGATTACACAGCCTTCCCAAGGCAGGAGTCTGCTTACCAAAGCACAGATAGACACTTTGAGTGCTATCGATTCCCAGAATCTTAGAGGACCACACCTCTAGCTCCATAGCAACCCAAGGTGCATCAATTTCCAAACCAACCAAGCCAGCTTTGGCTACAACAAGTACAAGTCCTGCCCAGCTAGCTCACAGAAGTGTGCCAACAGTGACAGCAGGAGTGGTATTGATAAAGTTGTACCCACCAAAACCAAGTCTCAAACCTTTTTCAACCTTCCTTTGAATTCTCCGATCGATACTATCCAGATTGACACACCAGATCGACTGACAAGAAACGATCATGCCAATCGAATGACACGAAGCGATCGAATCACAAGCAGCGACCACGAGATCGATTCAGTTTGACTCTCGGATCGACTCAGAAGATCCATCATGAATTGAAGTGCGACCACAGAAGCCTATCAGGCAGAGCAAGCTTACTCAAGCAAGGGTAGCCACACACCAGTGCTACCGGGATATCTTCTGCAGAGGATTCCCACAGTTCCACAGGAACAGTTCCACCATGGAACCAGCTCAAAGCAAGCAACAGTTCGACGGAACGCCACAAGTTGCCAGCATCCATCTACAAGAGGTGCAAACCAAGGTCCACATCAAGCAAGCACACATTCATGTACAACAAGTCACAGCCATTCGATTCCAAAGAAGAGGAGGCCGTGATGAAGGAAGAAGCTTCCCCAGCGGGAAGAAGAGGATTCCATCCTCTGAAAAAGACAACAGCAGGACATCCAACACTTCTTGGACTCCACAAGAAGAGACAGCTCACGTTCCATTACCAATGGACAACAAGCTGACTCCAGATAGCTACCAAGCTATTGCACAGACTCATGCTCACCTGATTTCCAAATCCAGTATCAAGCCTGAATGGATTGATGTTTCCACACATCATTGGCGATTGAGACCATGGCATATCGATGTCCAGTTCAGTCTACACCGCCAGTCAAGAGCACAGTTTGAGTCTACGAGAATGCAGCCGGAACTTCCTAGTTTCAGCTACAGCAATACCAATGACCGGAACTTCCCAGTCACCGGTTCAACAAGTGATCGGAACTTCCCAGTTCGAATACAGCAAAATCAAGTGACGGCACAACTGCCACAGCAAGTCATACAGGAGTGGCAACACTCACAGGAGTTGTAGCCACATGGCTTTTCATGACGACACTGTCCACATGTCCACATTGACTGTGACAGATTTTCAACACTGCTATGGAGACAAGCTTCTCGCCACAAGCGGAATGCCGAGCAACCTAACAATTGGTCTCTCTCGACCAAAAACTGTTCCTTATGGAGCACCATCATTACATTAATTATTCGTTCCACGGTATCCTTTATGGAACCGTGCAGGAGTGTGTTTGAGGTTGTATTACAGACCCTCAATACAAATTAGTCGTTTATCCCAATCTAGTTATAGGGATATCTATATCTATTCTCTAGTTACATACATGGGGAGTTAACTGATCTATATGGTCAACCCCTTCACTATATCCTTTGAAGTTGAATCAATCCCAGAAAACATGGAGAAAGATCACTTCTTGAAATGCTTAACAGTAAAACAGTATTTACCTTTACTAAGCTAGGTGTTACTAGCAACCAACCAACCTCCACTCCCAAAGGCAAGGTATGCCTTCGATTTCAACAAGCCCTCCAAACCCAACATGGCGAACAGTGGAGGAGGCCAATGGCCAGTGGATTATCAGGATGGGAGGTGTCCCCAAGCATGATTGGTCTGAATTGGAGAGCGAAACGGTCAATGTCCATGCCGGTCAGTACCGCACTTGGACAAGACCAAGGGCATGAAGCGTGAAGTGGCCATTGGTAGTCTGGACCCAGGATGGAGCATCAAGGACTCCTTCCAAGTGCTGCAGCTCTTTGTGCAACTCAACAAGTCTCGTGACTACGGGTTTCGAACAGCACTGTTTGAATCCCCTCAAGGTAGATCCAGGTGAATTTCGATCCCTACATGTTCTCTGGTGATATTGGGTTTGTCAAAAAGACAGCCGATTCCCTTTACCAGCACTACGATGACTTTGATGAGGAGAATGAGCATACCTTCAAGAATATGATTCTCAAATCACTACACCCTGACCTCAAGGCCAAGGTGAATGGATTGGAGGACCAGAATGATCGTTGCTCTTGTGACTTGGATCAAGGTTGTCCGTCAATGGAAAATCATTACCAGTGAACAAGCTACCAAACTCAAGCATGAATTGGAGGGATGCCTCATTCAGAAGTTTGATCGCATGGACGTTGTTGTCGCTCTTTGAGTTCATCAAGCCAGAGCCGAAGCATTGTATGACACACGTGATTGGGATCCTCTTTTTATCATTCCCTTTCTCAGATCCTTGTTCAATGCATACCCCAACGACTCTGAGTTTCATCTTGGATGGTGGACAGAAATTCAAACTAACATCATCAAGCCCTTGGAAGATGCTCATCACCAATTGAAGATGGAGTTGGGACAGAATGGATGCCGCATCGAAGATGAAATCAAGGCAGCTCCTGAGAAATACCCAGGTCTAGATAGGAAGTCCATTCGGGATAAGGTTTGGAACTGTATGAGAACGAAGTGAACAAGTTTCGTTGGCCTGCAAAGTCCTCGCCTCGCGACAGTGGCAAGAGTCCATCGGGCTTTGGTTCTACATCTGCTCATTTCACTCCAAACGATGCCCCACTCACCCGTTCCGATGTTATGGCCTTGGTTCAGAATCTTAACAGCATTGGCTCCAGGCAGTCCAAGGGTAAGCCCGAGGGCAACCCAAAGGGCAACTCTTCTGGTGATCGTAGCTGTTGGACCTGTGGATCTCTCGCTCCCGCCGCCGTTTTAGAGAGAGCCACAGGTCCAACAGCTACGATCACCAGAAGAGTTGCCCTTTGGGTTGCCCTCGGGCTTACCCTTGGACTGCCTGGAGCCAATGCTGTTAAGATTCTGAACCAAGGCCATAACATCGGAACGGGTGAGTGGGGCATCGTTTGGAGTGAAATGAGCAGATGTAGAACCAAAGCCCGATGGACTCTTGCCACTGTCGCGAGGCGAGGACTTTGCAGGCCAACGAAACTTGTTCACTTCGTTCTCATACAGTTCCAAACCTTATCCCGAATGGACTTCCTATCTAGACCTGGGTATTTCTCAGGAGCTGCCTTGATTTCATCTTCGATGCGGCATCCATTCTGTCCCAACTCCATCTTCAATTGGTGATGAGCATCTTCCAAGGGCTTGATGATGTTAGTTTGAATTTCTGTCACCATCCAAGATGAAACTCAGAGTCGTTGGGGTATGCATTGAACAAGGATCTGAGAAAGGGAATGATAAAAAGAGGATCCCAATCACGTGTGTCATACAATGCTTCGGCTCTGGGCTTGATGAACTCAAGAGCGACAACAACGTCCATGCGATCAAACTTCTGAATGAGGCATCCCTCCAATTCATGCTTGAGTTTGGTAGCTTGTTCACTGGTAATGATTTTCCATTGACGGACAACCTTGATCCAAGTCACAAGAGCACGATCATTCTGGTCCTCCAATCCATTCACCTTGGCCTTGAGGTCAGGGTGTAGAGATTTGAGAATCATATTCTTGAAGGTATGCTCATTCTCCTCATCAAAGTCATCGTAGTGCTGGTAAAGGGAATCGGCTGTCTTTTTGACAAACCCAATATCACCAGAGAACATGTAGGGATTCAGAACAACATTCACCATGGTATCTACCTTGTGAGGGTGATTCATAAAGCAGTGCTGTTCCAAACCGTAGTCACGAGACTTGTTGATGACAAAGAGCTGCAGCACTTGGAAGGAGTCCTTGATGCTCCATCCTGGGTCCAGACTACCAATGGCCACTTCACGCTTCATGCCCTTGGTCTTGTCCAAGTGGCGGTACTACCGGCATGGACATTGACCGTTTCGCTCTCCAATGCAGACCAATCATGCTTGGGGACACCTCCCATCCTGATAATCCACTGGCCATTGGCCTCCTCCACTGTTCCCATGTTGGGTTTGGAGGGCTTGTTGAAATCGAAGGCACTACCTGTGCCTTTGGGAGTGGAGGTTGTTGGTTGCTAGTAACACTCTAGCTTAGTAAAGGTAAAATACTGTTTTACTGTTAAGCTATTTCCAAGAAGTGATCTTTCTCCATGTTTTCTGGATGATTCAACTGGTAGAGTTATATATAGTGAAGGGTGACCATATACAGATCAGTTAAACTCCCCATGTATGTAACTAGAGAATAGATATAGATATCCCCTATCAACTAGATTGGGAAAAACGACTAATTTGTATTGAGGTGTCTGTAATAAAACCTCCAACACACTCCTGCACGGTTCCATAAAGGATACCTGGGAACGAAAATTAAGTTAATGATGGTTGCTCCATAAGGAACAGTGGTTGGTCGAGAGAGACAATTGCTAGGTGGCTTGGCATTCCGCTTGGTGGCGAGAAGCTTTGTCATCCATAGCAGTGTTGACAAATCTGTCCCAGTCAATGTGGACATGTGGACAGTGTCGTCATGAAAAGCCATTGTGGCTACCACTCCTGTGAGTGTTGCCACTCCTGTATGACTTGCTGTGGCAGTTGGTGCCATCACTTGATTTTGCTGTATTCGAAACTGGGAAGTTCCGATCACTTGTTGAACCGTGGACTGGGAAGTTCCGGTCACTTGGTATTGCTGTAGCTTGGAAACTAGGAAGTTCCGGCTGCATTGTCGTAGACTCAAACTGTGCCCTTGACTGGCGGTGTAGACTGAACTGGACATCGATATGCCATGGTCTCAATCGCCAATGATGTGTGGAAACATCAAGTCATTCAGCTTGGTACTGGATTGGGAAATCAGGTGAGCATGCGTCTGTGCAATATCTTGGTAGCTATCTGGAGTCAGCTTGTTGTTCATTGGAATGGAACGTGAGCTGTCTCTTCTTGGTGTATGTCCAAGAAGTGTTGGTTGTCCTGCTGTTGTCTTTTTCAGAGGAATGGAATCCTCTTCTTCCCAGCTGTGGAAGCTTCTTCCTTCATCACGGCCTCCTCTTCTTTGGAATCGAATGGCTGTGACTTGTTGTACATGAATGTGTGCTTGCTTGATGTGGACCTTGGTTTGCACCTCTTGTAGATGGATGCTGGCAACTTGTGGCGTTCCGTCGAACTGTTGCTTGCTTGAGCTGGTTCCATGGTGGAACTGTTCCTGTGGAACTGTGGGAATCCTCTGCAGAAGATATCCCGGTAGCACTGGTGTGTGGCTACCCTTGCTTGAGTAAGCTTGCTCTGCCTAGATAGGCTTCTGTGGTCGCACTTACAATTTCATGATGGATCTTCTGAGTCGATCCCGAGAGTCAAACTGAATCGATCTCGTGGTCGCTGCTTGTGACTCGATCGCTTCGTGTCATTCGATCTGGCATGATCGTTTCTTGTCAGTCGATCTGGTGTGTCAATCTGGATAGATCGATCGGAGAATTCAAAGGAAGGTTGAAAAAGGTTTGAGACTGTGGTTTTGGTGGGTACAACTTTATCAATACCACTCCTGCTGTCACTGTTGGCACACTTCTGTGAGCTAGCTGTGGCAGGACTTGTACTTGTTGTAGCCAAAGCTGGCTTGGTTGGTTTGGACATTGGATGCACCTTGGGGTTGCTATGGAGCTAGAGGTGTGGTCCTCTAAGATTCCTGGGAATCGATAGCACTCAAAGTGTCTATCTGTGCTTTGGTAAGCAGACTCCTGCCTTGGGAAGGCTGTGTAATCCTGGTCTCACGTCGTCGTGCCGACTGGCTTGCAATGAGTCCAAAACAAACCTTGGAAGTGGTTGCTCGGCATCCTGCTTGGTAACGAGAAGCTGAGCGGTGGTGACGAGACAATACGGTCATTGTCATCATCGGAAAAGTCTTTGTGGCTGGCACTCCTTCTGAGAGTGGTGCCACTCCTGGAAGATTGGTGTCGGATGATACCGCCACTTGGTGTACCTGCGGCTCAGACTGGGAAGTTCGGCTGCATTGACACTTGATGGGGCTGGAAGCCCTTCGTAGATGGAAGCTGGTTGAAGGCTTCTGGAAGTCGTAGACTTGTGGGAAGTGATGCCCTATTGGAAGGTGCATGGAAGCTGGAAATGATGTAGCTTGGAAGTCACGGACTTGTTGGGTTCGACTGAACCCTAGTTCTTGGATGGTCTCGATGTCTGAAGATGGAATGAGGAAATGGTTGAGTTATTGTTTCCTCTTGTCATGGTTGTTTATACTCATGTGAGACTCGTGACTGCTGGTGTCGTCACTCGTGGTGACTGGTGCCGTCACTTATTGGTACACTTGGTACCGTTCTTTGGTGTTGCCGTAGCTGAGACTGGCAAGTCAGGCTATAGCAACACTTGGGAGAACTGTTGTAGTAGCTGGAACTAGGAGGAAGTTCCTTGCCACAATGATACTTTGAGTTGGGGCTGGAAGCCCTTGGAAGTTTGGAAACTTGTAAGGAAGTATTCGGTAGTAGTTGTGGATGCTCCAGCTTGATGGGCTCCACTGGACCTGGACGTGTCACGGTCGATGATGGTTCGATGGTGATGTAGTCGGTAGATCCTTTGGTTGATGATGCCACTGCTCTTACACTCCTGTGAGATGGCTGTGGCAGTAGTTGTTCGTAGTTGTATCTTCTGTAGGCTTGATTTGTTGTACTCATGTACTTCTGTTGTTGGTGTGAGACTAAGGTTGGTTGCAATCTCTGTACAGTAGTTGCAGTGGAGCTGAGGTGTGCACCCTCTTGTTGTTTCTGTTGATCAGGTTTCCTCTTGTAGGTCAAACTCTGTCTGCTCCTGCCATCCTGTGGCGTGGTTCCTTGTCTTGTGAACTCTTGAGTGGCTTGCTTGTAGCTAGCTACTCGGTTCAACGTTCACTGTCGTTCTGCTGTTGTTGCAGTTGCCGTTATTGTAGATGCGCTGTGGATGTAGCCATTGATGGTAGTTGGCCGTGTAGTTGTGGCCATTGTTATGGCCATTGATGGTTACGGCATTGCCTATAAAGGCGGATGTTATGATGATTTTGTTTGTAGGATTGTAGGTTTTGGATTTGGGTACCCTCACACTCCTGTGCACTTGCTGTGATCAAATAGCAAGGGCATGGTCTTGTAATGGTATCTGTTGTTGCCTACCTAGAGGGTGTTGTTGCCTCAGGTTTGCCTGTAATCATGAAGGAAGTGCTGTGGATTAGTTGCACAATACACATTCCATAAAAGGTAGTAGGAGGTGCTGTGGCTGGGATGTCACAATACACACTCCATGAAAGGAGAGGAGGTGCTGAGTGTAAACTCAATGCAACTCCAAAGAAAATATTTGATGCAATGGGAGGCACTCCTGTGCTTCCTGTAGCTTGCACTGCTGTTGCGGTAGCTTGTGTGCCGGTATCTAGCTAGCTATCTGCATGACATGCTGCTCCTATAGCTAACGTTGACCGGTAGCTGCTTGACCGGTAGCTGCTTGGATTCGCCGTAGAATCCTCTTGTTGCCGACGTACGGAGAGATCTGGAGATCTGGCTCCGTACACTCCTGGAAGGATACTGTTCGCAAAAAGATACCTTTTTCGCCTGGCTGTGACGTTCAGCGGCTTGTGGCTGCTGTTCGGTGAACAGCTTGGCTTGTTCTTTGCCATTCCGTGGAAAAGGCTGCACAAACCACAAATTTCGTGTCGGCACTTCGGCAACAAGTTCTTCTCTTGTTGCCGATTGACACAATGGCACTATTGTTGCTATTGTTGCTATCGGTATCATCGGCCGATGGCTGTAACAGTAGCGTGAGCGACTGACTAGTAGTAGCCGCCAGCTAACAGTAGCGGTTGCTGTTCTGCTTGTTCTTGTGTGTGAGTAGTAGCGATCGTTCGATCGCTTCGGTCGTCTTGTTCTTCGCTGCTGGTGGAAATTGCAAAATTCGCTCTTATTCGAACAAATAGCAGCGACTGGCTAGGAGTAGCCGTCGTTGTTCTCGTTCCTGTAGTAGTAGCCGTTGTCGTGGTTCGATCCATTGATCATTGACTGGCTGCTACCGTACGGTTTTTCCTTCAATTTTGCTTGACTGTGCCGATGGATGCAAGAACTTGTTTCCGGTTGCATTCGGCAGCTTGCACTCTTAGGGCCTGTTGCGCTAGTGTTCAAAGCACAACTTGCTGTATGACAGTCCTGCTGTGGGACCTGTCGTTGCCGTGTAATCGGCCTGGCAATTCGTCTTGTTTGTGCGACGGGAAATCTTCGCACCTCTCTTTTAGTAGCCTCTTTCAATGGCTCTCTTATTGAGGATAGGAGCACTCCCACGGAAGTACCTCTGTGGTTCCTGTTGGAACTTGTTATCTCGTTCCTCTTCCGGTTGACACAACTTTGCTGTTCGTGTCGCTCTTCTTGGCTTGCACGGTTCGTTTCCGTACTAGTACACTTGGCTTCGTACAGTGCGGCAGCTCTCAATCGACGCGGTGGCATGCAGTCGATCCGATAAGCTTGCCTACTTGGTGGCTGTGTTCTGCTCACTCCTTTGAGCTTGCTTCCGGATGACACTCCTCGTCGTGTCACTTCTGTAGGCTTCGTGCGACGGCTCTGTGAGCTAGCTTGTTCGTGTTGCGTTCCTGCTCACTCCTGTGAGCTGGATGTTCTTGTTTGTAGATGGGCTTGGTACGGTCACACCGCAGCACCGGTACAACACAATTAGCTCTTTAGCAGATCTTCAATCGTTCGGAATTCGCTCAATTCCTGTTGGATTCGCTTCGTTCAAGCAATAGGGTGACGTAGTTAGTGATGTTCTTTTGGTTGGTACAATACGTTCTGGCTGATTCGATTGTCTTCTGGAGGACCGATCGCGCCGGTGTAGTCAATGTGTCGGCGTGCAAGGCACGATTTCATGTTGCC